TTTTTCCCCAAAGCCCCAGTAGATAGTTGTGTGTCATAGTTGCACATCCTTCTAGTTGCTGTATGTGGGACGCGGCCTCAGCATGGCCAGAGAAGTGGTGCGTTGGTGCGTGCCCGGGATCCGAACCTGGGCCGCTGGTAGCGGAACGCACGCCCTGAACCACTAAGCCACGGGGCCGGCCCCTGGTATTATTTTCTCCTGCTAACCTGTCTTTTCATTTTTTGGCCAGCCATAAGAACCTTAAGGGAAAGGGTGGAGGGGGATTCTCCCTCTTCCCCAACAGCATCATGCTAAAGCACTAATTTTTACAACAGCTCCCCACTCCCATTTTACAGATGAGAAGAATTAAACCTCAGGGAGATTTTTGCCAACTAATATTTATTGAGGGCCTATATATACCAGGCAAATTAATTCATTTGCTCTAATTAAAAGCTAGTAAGTGGTGGAGCTGAACTTTGGACCCAGAGTTGCCTGATTCTGTGCTGTGTCTGGATTCATGTGGTGGAGGAGTGAGTAGGTCTCTGCTTGCTATTTGAAGGAGTGACCCTGATCGCCTCCTGGCCAGCAAGTAGAAAAGTCACAAAAATGGGAGCTGCCTTCCTCTGGCCTGTGCTATGATAGCCACTAGCCACATATGGCTTTAAATTTAAATTAATTACAATGAAATAAAGTTAAAAATTCAGTTCCTCAGTCCCATTAGCCAAAATTCATGTACTTAATAGCCACACATGACTAGTGGTTACAGTATTGCACAGTATAGATTTTCCATCAACACGGAAAGTTCTGGACAGTGCTATATCCCATCATCCTCCCTATCCCTATTTCCCTCGGTCATCACCACAGGTTTGTGCTCCCTCTCCTCCATTATCACCTCCATCCTTGTCCTCATACTGGCAATTTGTCTGACAGGCTCCCAGCTCCCTGCCGCCAGCTACACCCTTCTCCTGTGCCCTCTGCAACCTGTGATCAGCAAATTCTTCCATATCCTCAGCCTTTTCTCAGGATGCTGACTTCACCTCTTTGCCTTACCTGAAACTTGGCTATCCCCTAAGGACACTGTTTCTTTAGCAGCCCTCTTAGATGAATGCTATTTTCCTCTCATTCTTGTGTACCCCAGGGTCAGGAAGTGGGTAAGTATATTTCTCTCTCACACTCAATGACATTTCTAAACCAGTGCTTCCCCTCCCTCCTACAAAACCACTGTTCCTCTGAAGCTTCACCATCTAGACATACCATCTTGGTTGATGTCACCAGTCAGCCTCCTGGTTGCTGCCCATCATTTAGCTCTTGGCTCACTGCCCTTTCCCCACCCAAAATTTTGTTATATTTGGTGAGTTCAACATCTGTGTGATGGCCTATCCAACATCCTCCTCATGTCCAGCGATATTTTCCACACTCCACAGCAGCTGCCCACTCTGTAGTCACACCTTCAACTTTGTTTTCACCAAAAAACATACCACTTCCAATATGTAGACTCTCCAACCACAACCTTTTCCTTCACTGAGCCTCCCTCAACAATTCTTTGACCCTCATCATGAGCTCCGATCCCTTGAACTCACTAATTTTTCACTCTTCATTAGCCCTAGTTTCCATGTTCCTTCTTTTTCAGTTTCGTTTCCATCATCCATCACTATAACCACTCTCTTAGCCCATATCCTCCTTTGGTGCTTGCCTGGCAAAACCCCTGCTCTGGATAAATCCACCATCTGCCTTCTGAGTGCTTTTGTTAGAGCAAACTCACACTGCCAGGCAGGTTATCTTCACTCACATTCATGATCCTCACCTCAGACGGGCTCTCCACACTGCCTGGGAATTCCTACTACATGTCTCTAATAAGATGGTTTTCTACTCTCTAAGACGACTTGTATACCTATTCTCTCTCTGAAAAACCTCTACTCCTCTCAACTTAGCTGATGACCTAGCCTCTGAACTTCTTTTTTTCCAGTTTTATTGAAATAAAATTGACATATAATATTGTATAAGTTTAAGGTGTACAACATGATGATTTGATATATGTACATATTGCCCTAGCCTCTTAGGTTACTGAGGAAATGGAAGCAAAGGGGAGCTCCCTCTCATTCTTTTTTTTTTTTTTT